ACTTGAACGGATTTGATTTGGTTATTTTAGAGCAAAGCCACATTGCGCTATCTGCTTTGCCCACCACGGGAAATCGAGCCCCGGATTTTAGAGTTGCAAGTCCGTAGACACTTGAATGGAATGCATCACAATAAGCCACACTTGACTGCTTACAAAATAGTAATGTTTTCTGCAGTGTTTTGCGTTATAAAATATTTATTCTCTATTTGAAATATTACAAATCATTGACTATAACTTTTTTCCTCCTTAATTTGTTTCGAATATTCGCGCTAAGCTGTACAAGGATTATCTGCACTAGCCGTCCCTAATTTTGAAATGAGATAGAGTAGAAGGTAGATAGCTATTTGACAACGTCCACCGCCAGTTCTTGCTCTACTTTAATCGAATAATAAAATTCGACTATCACTCTCATTACGTACCCACATCCTTAAAGTGCGGAACGTAATTTTACGGCACCGAGACGTAAATAATAGACTCTTAGATTCACAGTTAGAAATGCTAACTATTAGGTTACGTCCACCTCTCTTCAGATAAAAAAAAACAATTTTAAGAAGTGAATAGAAATATTAGGGTCAAAGAGCACTTAGACACAATACGTTTTGGTGCTTTTCAGTATATTAACAGTGGTTGCTCAATAAAATCCAAAGTATTGTGATCGAGTGAACCTAAAACTTTAGAGCATAGTTCTCGACTGCTGTTTTTTTTCTTTCAAATCAGAATGAAACTTAACTACCAAAATTTAAAATCGTAATGCCAGTGTGGACTCTTCTTTCAACCTAAATGACCCTTTTTTTAGTTCTTTAGTTTTAATAGCCTCCATAACATTACCAAAATGGTTATGCTAGTTGAAACATGTTATGGAGGTTGTCAGAATAATTATATGATGTTGGCAATCACGGGGATGTTGCAGAGGGTGAAAGAAGAAGTATAAAAGTAAGATATCACAAAGAAAGTATGGTGCTTTAAGAACTATATTGCGAAGAAGCCACAAAAATACAACGAGTCATATAAAATTAGAATTTGGCATTGGTATACTTCAGCCTTACTTCCATAAAATCTTTCCTATTTCATAAACTTCTTCTTGCCCTTTATAATTAAGCTGCCGAGAGACCTGCCTCTGGGACAAATAGTTCCATGGCCTTTGATTATGTTACTTCTAAACCAATTACTTATATTGATTTTCTGTCATCTAAAGCATGTTGTTTTATGTACATATTTTTATCTAATTTAGTGGTTCCCAACTTGTGGTAAGCGTATCTTTGGGGGCAAGCAGAAACATTTTCTGGGGGTACACCAGAACCTTTCAAAAACATTGAATAGAAAATAAACCCCATGCCTCAAAAGTGGAGGGCAGTCTTGGTGAGTTATCAACGTATTAATCTAGCCAGTATTAATCATTACGTTCCTGTAATGTTGACTCGTCTATAACGTATTTCGTTTGGTTTGCGTAAGTGTTTTTAGCATATTATTTGCACCAGGGTTACGCCGCTGGCTCAAAGGACTGACTAGAGGTAAGAGGCATAAGATCTAGGCTGAGAATCACTGATCTAAATTATGGTGAAACGCCAAAAATTTCGTGTTTAGCAAAATGATAGCAATTCTACCAAATTATTAGAAATCTTTATTGTTGTTTTTTGAAACTCACAAACATTATTCTCTCAAACTTGACAAACAAAATATCTTTATTATATTTCAAAATCTAGCAGAATAAGTCATTTCAATACAGTTATTGCCCATGATTCTAGCCCATGTATTTACCATACAAAGATAAGCGTGAACGCCCTCTGGAGGTGTATATGATTCTCCCTTTTTTGGACATGATGTATGTGTGGAGATTTGTTAGTTTAGGCTTGTCGTTATATTTAACTTAAGAATGACTTTTATAATTCATATAATCACCAATGCTTTCTCGATATAAGAAATAAATAAGATTAGCCCTGTATCGTTTTTGACCTGAAATCCAAAAGACGTTCAATCAAATCTACCTTTTATATGACCACTGGCTATTTTTCTCGTGCTCGTGAAGTACGTATCTAATACCTAGCACATTTCTTAAAGGCCATCTAACAGCTAACAAGTATATTCGTAATTTTGCTTTCATATAAGTGGCGGACCAATATTTTTCAGAGTGTTTATAGTTCTACCACAAAGTTTCGAGCGATAAATCAAAACTTTGCCCATCAACTCCTCTTCAAAGTTAGTTCACTCTGCACAATACGATTCACTTATGGTCTGAAAGGGATCCTTCGTGATCTCTTAAATGGGCGACATAGGGAGAAATGATAGGCGAAGTTTAGTAGTTTCTTTTATCCTCCCAATCTGTTAATTTGATTTTAATTTACAAAGAATGTAGAGCCAGATATTTGTAGATTCATATATGTATTTATATAGACAGATAAAAAAGGACATACCAGTATGTTTGTCTACTATTTTAGAAATTGAAAAAATTACTGTGATGTTAAATACGAAACTTAAATTATTCCTTTCTTAATTTAATAAAATCAAGAAATAGAGTAATAAAATTTAATAATTTAGTGAAATAACTATCTAGCCACAAAAAATATAACTTATAATACAAGTACCTGTCCATAGTGATGGTCCATCCAGTGAGAGAGATATTTGATCTCAGTGTAGGAATGAACAACTGAACACAGGAAAAATACGAAAAAACATATAGGAAAGATAGAACAAATACAAGCTCTAACCAGGGAAGGGGAAGATACGATGAATGATACATAGATGGTTGCAGGAAAGCTGTTGCACACAGTAAAGCTAGTTGTTGTGAGGAAATGACACATAAAAGAACTAGTCAAGACACAGGAAAGATATGACGCTTAATAGTGCTATGTGGTTGTTAGAAAGTGAAAAACAAAATAACTAAGCAAGTCACGAGGTAGATATAAGGCCTAACAGAGCTACCTGGTCATTAGAAAGTAAAAAATTAGACAAGTCACGAGGTAGATATGACGCTTAATAGAGCTAGATGGTCATTAGGAAGTATAAAGTTAAATAACTAGTCAAGTCATAGTGAAGGTATGATGTTTAATAAAGCTAGCAGGTCAATACGAAGTTAAAAATTTAATAACTAGTCACGTCATAGGGACGATGTTTAATAAAGCTAACTGGTCAATACAAAGTTATAAAAAAATTACTAGTCAAGTCATAGGGAAGATATGATGTTTAATAAAGCTAATTGGTCAATACAAAGTTAAAAATTAAATAACTAGTCAAGTCATAGGAAAGATATGATGTTTAATAAAGCTAACTGGTCAATACAAAGTTAAAAATTAAATAACTAGTCAAGTCATAGGGAAGATATGATGTTTAATAAAGCTAACTGGTCAATACAAAGTTTAAAATTAAATAACTAGTCAAGTCAAGGGGAAGATATGATGTTTAATAAAGCTAACTGGTCGATATGAAGTTAAAAATAAAAGAGTTATTTGGTGACAGAAAATATACAACAAATAATGGAAATAGTTATTCATAAGAAATATATGTTAAATAACAAGTAATTGGTTACAAGGAATGTATAGTTAATAATCATTATTACTAAAATCAGAAAATATTTGACAAATAATATAGCTTTTGGACAACAGGGAAAGTACGATTTAAATAAAAAGTATCTAGAACTGAAGCAGCTTTTGACAAATAACGAAGTATTTTCTATTAGAGAAAGCTATGAAATGGTGGGATAAATCATAAAAGTCTTTGGTAACATGGATTAATAATAAAACTATCTAATAACAATGAAGGTATGACAAGTAATAGAAGAAACTAACCTCAGAAAAGGTCACTATTAGGAAAATAATGCAAGTTTGTAGACCCACAGACACTACATACAAAGATATAGTTTCCGGGAAATTTTGGCTTTACATTAGAATATGTAACCTCAAGAAGGATGGAATGGTGCAAATAACATTAACTATATATATATGCTTGTTTGTTTGTAGTTAAGTACTAAGCTACCCAATGAGCTATCTGTGCTGTGCCCACCACGAGTATCGAAACCCAGTTTTTAGTGTTATAAGCCTTCACTGAATCACTTGGGGGCATTTGTCTTTTTCACAAAAAATAATGAACTAATGACTTATTTTTTATTATCGTTCGACTATGGCATTGTTTCTTACTTTTCTGTTTATTACAAACTATTAAGTTACAAAACTTTAAAAATAACTATCAATATTGCTATGTTCTTCCTTTACACAGAAAGTAAGTGCCGGATTAAAGAATTGTGGAACCCTGTGCTCTATGGGAAGTTTGCTTCTCTTCCCTTGAGCTTGGCAGAGCATGTGATATATACAGACTGCAAATAACAGAACAACTTTCTATTTTATTATTATTGTTAATAATAAAATAATTAAATCTTTCTCGCGAAATAATACACAACCGCCATTAACGGTTCAAAGATTTTGTGTTCTTATTCTAATAATTTAGTATCAAATTTAACTAATTTAAAAAATATTGTATCATGCCCCGTTGAATTACTAGCTATGCTGAGAAAGCATTGTGGTCATTGCAAAACATAAATATATAAATGGTGTTCATGTGTATTGCTTAGGCCAGATGCGATTTCCATATACACCTATTTCTGGAATCTCGTTGAGGTATTTTTTCCCGGTGGTCGGGAGGCCTCTCTAAGCTGGGAGGCCCTGTGCAAGTGATCAAGTACAAATTAGATAATCCGGGCCAACTGAGATAGTTTTGTCATGGGGAGAACGAGTAAAGTCTTGACGAAATCATTATATCTCAAAGAGTTACTACTTTTTCCTTATGTTCTCAATACTCGGCATGCGCAAGTGAAGTGAAGAAAACAATACGTATTATACAGAGTGGAAAAGTAAAATATCAAAACAAGTTTTCCACCTAACACTAGCTGAGAGAACTTCGGTTTGGATGAGCAACTATGTGTCCTTCCGATTGAAATTGAAGTAATGGTTATGTATCCCTCCGCATTACCGACCTATATACCCACTTTGTTTAGTTGAGGTGACGAAACGGCTTAAAGGTACGTTGAGGTAACAGAGAAACCAGACATACGAAACTAAACCGAAGCTTGGTCGCCTTGGAAAGCACTTGGATCGATTGTTACTAGTTATACTCAGGTACGCCTCCTATTACCCGTTTGTATTGTATTCTCACTTTTAGAATCTTTCATGTTCGTATTTATCACCAAGCGCTTTAATCTTAAGTATATATTCAAGGTCTAAGAATATCCAAAAATTTAACTTTTAAAGGTCAGGCTATTTTCAATTTTGGTTTCTTTAAATAACGAGTATGAAATGTTTCACTTGAGCATTCTAATAATACCCATGTTGTAATAGGTGTATTTTCCATTTAAAAGTGAAACACGCATTCTCAAGTTTAGAGTAATATTAAAAAACAAAACTTTTGGCGCTAATAGTAACATTAAATCACAAACAGCTAAGAAGTTGAGCCCAAAATTATAATTTATTAGTAATACAGAGAACAGGAACTGGAGGAAGCACACACAGTTTCATCATAAACAGTATTTGATAAATTGCTACTGAACATGTACTCTGTAGGTTCGTTCACTACTCTCGTGATTGATCCTATATTGTTGATACATGTAGCAACTGTGTAATGTTTTCTTTTAGTTTAATATGGTCAGCTTCTTGGCAGAAAATGATAACTAAATAATGTAATTCTACCTCTGGTAAGTAGTGAACTTATATTGGTGTCACCCGGTCATCCACAAACTGATTGCAATGTCCAACTTTAATTTTACGATAACGTTACCACAGCACACATCTGCAAGGCTTCGTTTCTCTGTTCAATGTTTGTTTCAGATTTTCGTTAAAGTATGTTGTTTGTCGGTTACTATGCGCCCAGCGGCGCCAAACACTGTTGCTTTATAAGGCGGTCATTGCAGAATGAACGCCCACACTGCTAAATTGATTTTTTCTTTCATTATTTGCAAAGAATTATCAACATTCTTACCTTTATCAACGTAACAGAAAAAAAAAGGAATTTATTGTACTTGCGATGTATTCTCTGAAATACAATAGACGTGTTTTATGAGCAATAAATAAAGGCGAGTCACTGGAATAATGTGATCTAAACTAGATAGGAATCGGGGTCATCTTACCACATCCTTAATTAAGAAACTTATTTCATTTTAGCCTTCTTGACCCACTATCTGAATTTATGGAGTGGAATTACGAATCTTGTTGGATTTCGAAATGACTTTTTAATCAGCATTCGTTTTCACGGTCTGATTTGTTAATGATTTATTAAATTTTCACATTTTCAAAAAGATAATTCTTCCTTGGTTTAAGTTTATATGGTTGTATTAGTTCCCATTAGTAAAAGAAAAGAAATTGTGATAAAAAGAGAGGTTTCATGAATTTCATCACGTCGACAATAAGTAGATGTTTCATTATCGAAATATCGATTTGAAAAGTCTTTTTCTATTCTGGCGTCGTTTTATTTACGTTACTGCATGTATACGTCCAATGAGAGCACGTTTATTTGTTGCTGTTTTTCCAGATTCTGTTGGATTTATAAACTTTTTTTTCTAAACTTTTTATGCACCAAATTGCTTGTGGGTCCATGACTTTATTAGTTACAGGGTCCCTAATAACATATAAGTCACACAAAAAATTTAGTCAAAAGTATCCTCAGTATTACTGTTAATACCTCAAGGTACTAATTAGGGCTAGGGTTTCGTGTCTATTTTAGATAGGATGATTTCATCCAGTTTTTCAGTTTGTTCTTTAAAACATAAGATTGGTCAATATGATGCAATATATAAACCCTACTGGTAGTGAGCAGCATGTAAACAAGCCGATAATTTGAGGGTTAAACGTAATAAATTCGATTATCTTACATTACATTTTCTCACCACCCTATGGATTGATCATCCTTTATTGTTGCTTTTTTAGCTCCTAGCCAAATACTTCTCATTTTAACTCATTTATCAAAACAAAATACCGCAAAGTTTCTGTACAAAACAGCTTGTTTGATTTTCGTCGTGCTACAAAAAACTGACAGATTGTCAATTTTATTTAAATCTTCTTACTGGATACAATGTTCTTAAATTCCTCTTAGTGCCTATTAGGTTTAGTTTCGATAAAAAAACTCAAGATTGCTCGAAATTATTTTAAAATACCAGTGACTTAACTGTCTGTTATGTAACTACTCCTATGTCGCAGGGCCAGCCTCAACCAAACTTTGTGGGATGATAGTTTGGAACAAGGGGCATGTTAATGGCAGGTTCACAACCACTACCCCCTCATTATTGTTGTTAATTAGCATTTATTATCTATGAACGTAAACTATACTCATAAATGGCGCCATGTCCTTACACAAAAAACTATTAATTTTTCTATAACACAACATACACACAGTGTGGATGGGGGCACACATACGTCTTACATATCTCAGAGACTGCGCTAGCAGACTCTATGGAGGAATATAATGAAATAAAAAATAGCCGCCACTATTGCAATAATACATAAACTCAGCTGAAATTTCTACTCCAACAGCCACCATAAGGCTGATATGAAGAGCCGTTTATTAAGTTATATCCACTTCCTACTTTGACCCGTGACCTTACAACTTCGGCCTCTAAGATACTTCTGCTGCAATGACCGTTAATTAATTAATAACGTGAAACAGTGTGGAAGGAGATTAAAGCTGGGTATTGAAAGCGGGTAACAGAAAGCACCACTACCGCCACTACTTGTTGCTACCTCTTCCTACAAAGTCACCTTGACTATTGCATAGCGTATACCATGTTTTAGGTATATACATAGTGAATTATTAAAGCTTATGCAAAACTTTTGGTGAGGTAATAATGAATAATTTAATAATGTTATGTTATAAATAAATTTTGTGAAAGTTAGGATTTTTATTTTATTTATCATAGCATCCACCCCTTCATTTTTTTAAATTCATAACCCGGACAAAGGACGGGCACCTCAGCTTGTAATAAATAATATTAAGGTTTGTTTGTTGTTGAGATGTCTGTGCCCACTGCAAGGATCGAACCCAGAATGTTAGCGTTACGAGCCCTCAAGTTTACCATTAACCCTAAATGGAGCAATATTAAGAGGATATTCTGCCTTTTTTTAAATTGATGTTTCTGTTTATCGGTTTTTGAACAAATCTGCCGATTCTGGATCAATTGGTAAGTTGTTCGGTACTCTATTTTTTTAAAATCGTTATTCGTGGTGTGAAAATTTCAGTAATTATATATATATAATTAATTTTGTTTGATTATTATTTTTTAACTGTCTTAGAGGTTTGGCTTGAGAAGTCAAAACTGATATTCGTTTTTTCTTGACATATATTTTGTTTAAGCGCAGAGCTGCACAATGGGCTGTCTGTTCTATGCCTACAAGAGAGATCGAGCCCCGATTTTTAGAATTAGAAGCCCTCAAGCTTACTGCTAAGCCATTGGGAGGCTAATCTTTACCTTAAACTTTTACGTACTAGTATCAAGCTATGTTCTTAATTTGATACCTACAATTAATGTTGTATTTTATATGTAATTGTGACTTTTCGGGAAGTTTTAATATAATCGATTTAAACAAAAAAAAAGAATAGCTCTGCATATAATAAAAGATATGTGATACAAACATATCAGGATTTTAATTTCTATAACAATGCAACAAAAGTACAAATTTAACCGCAATTAGCAATAATACTTAGCCGTGTATGGTTGGACACTCCTGAGACAAAAAATAAAGACTCGGCTATATCTATGATTGAATTAAGTAATCAATAGTAGAAAGAAAGAATTGTAGGATAAAAAGAACATTCTAGAAGGATCTTACAAGACAAGTTAAAATAAGAACATGAACCATTTATTAGTACAATAATTATATAACAATTTCCTGTACAGCTTAACTGGACTAGAGTGGAGGAAGGACTTTTAGACCTAGGCTCTCCATAGTAAGGACACAAATACAATGAAACTAACATGTAAATTTATCTTGGGATAACCAGGTAAGAACGCCCTTTCCCCGTTTGTTTGTTTTTTTATTCTAGGTCAAGAACGGAAAAGTTATCCTCTTAGATATACATTCACGATCAATTTCTTCATTGTTCTGATACAATCGAATTAGTTCTTTTCAGAGCCTTTTCTACGACGTTGTTGGACTAATTATTTATCCATATCTGTATCCTGTCTCACTTTAGTCAATGAATTTTTCTTCTCTGTATTTGATAAGCCAGTAACATAGTTGTACGTAAAGGCTTCAAGTTCAAGTTAGTTTCATCGTGCCCTAGATTGATGTAGTAACTTTCGGTGACATCCGGGTCACTATGTTTTAATTCACTGAGCGCATCACTACGCCACCTGGAAGATGTTCTCAAAGAGAATGTTAGAACGAAAGCTATACGATTGCGCAATGGTTTGTTTGCGTGCAGTTTTAAGGTTTATTCAGTGATTTTTGTAGAGTTGAACAAGTACAAAGAAACACATTAACGAGCATTATTTTATCTTTTTCAATGAGTTACTATTTAGGAAATCCTGATACAAATTACATTACTTGTTCCTAATAATCACCTCTTTTATTTATTATAATGAACTCTTCGTAATTTTTACAAAATGTCTGAAAATTCAAAACTAGATTAATCACTGGTTACGGTCCTTTATCTTCAGTTTTTATATTTCCTGCTACTCCTTAATTTTTACATCACTTGACATGAGCATAGCGGTTAAGTAACGAAAATATGTTTGAGATAGCCTAATTTCTGACGAGAATTAAACTCAGAACCTGTAGCACGTCAGTCGAAGATTCTATCAACTAAACTAAAGGGTTAGTCCTTTAGCAGTAACTAGTAATGCTTTTTAACACACCGATTTACCACATGTTTCCCCTCTCACGAACAAGTCCTTTCCCGAGGTTTTATCTCAGAATAGTTGGATAACTCTTTCCTTTGGGCACTAGTTTTTCATTTCTCTGGTATACCAAATAAACTAAATGGTTAAGCTTATAGTTATATTGATAATAGAACACTAGCAAAAAACCACACGTTTGTTAGATAGAAGAGATGTTATCTTTGTTCATTTCTTTCAATACAAGGCTTATCATAGTACTACACCTACAATACTTGACCAGACGAAATGCATATA